GTAGTGGCCTGGTAAAGAAAAGAAAGCAAGAGAAACCCCCGGTTACGCCCCGCATAAGGACCTTCTCTATTTTGGCCACATCCACCTTGGGATAGAGAAGGAGCGTGCTGGAGAAGCAGCTCAAGATTAGGAGAAACCTCTACCAACCATAAGCTGCTATGCCTGCTGCATCAGAAGGATTCTAAGAAATCACTCGTAAGTTGAAAGTGTGGCGGATTTCCAAGGGACTAAGGTAAGGTGGACGTAAAGGTTAGATAGGGGCTAAGGCCTGAGTCATAAGGATTGATGCTGGCTAAGGAGAGAAAAACCAACTCACTGGGCGAAATAAAAATATTATACAAAACCTATCCCCTTCAAAAAAAAACGCTGTGAAAATGACTTGGCAAATTCCAGAAGATTTCATTAAAAACCGCATATACTAAGCCACTTAATGAAGCGGAGCACAATAAAAACCGGGCCCAATCGCAGTATAGGGGGCATCCTCCAGGACAGAGCCTAGAGCCCAGAAAGGGGCGGCAGCTCCAGAGAAAATGAAATTGGCACACCCACTTTGGAGTCTCACCTCTCCTGCCTAAAGGCTTAATTTAACAAAAAAGACATGTTCAACGCGGTTACAAATGTACTATCACCAATTGCCCCCACATATTGCGATAGCGTTGAAATTGCAATGCGAGTCGATTTTGACGAATATAAACGTGAGATATCGAAAAAAAGGAAGACGAGGTGAACTTGGTTGTTTCTAGTTTCTTCTCAGAGTAAAAGCTAAAGAAGCAAAAGAGAATGGATTACGATGAACTGAACCGAAAGCATTATTCAAGCTACTACTATGTGGACACTCCCACTCATGACGGAGACACATTTGACGCCAAGAAAATTAGCATAAAATCTAGTTACGTGTCAAGCAAAGTCCATTTTCTTCTCGCTTTTGAGGTTTGGTCGACAACTTGGACGAAGATCTAGGGCTTGTTGAAGTCATGAGAAGCCCACGAAAGTAACTCATGAAGGACTTCAAAGCACGACCGATTTATGGCGCTCAGAGACAAACACTGCGTTGGAAAAAAATTCATCAGCACTGACGTTTTTCTCTCCCTTCCCGGAAGGGCCTTAATAAGATTCCGTTCCAAAAAACGCAAGCACGGCAAATACGACTCCGTTTCTGTATTGTCTAACAAATGACGGTGATAAAATAACTAAAAACATCGATCGTTCTAACCATCATCCTTCTATAGAACTCTGGCTAAAGCCATGCTTCAAAAGAAGGGCTAAGCTAGACCAAAGAAAAAAAAGACTCAGAATCAGTGAACGCATATAACAGCAATCACTCAGATAATGGATCGCAGAGAAAAAATTATATTGTGGATGGAATCCTTATAGCCCTAGGCAAAATACGAATTCATCACAGCCGAGCAGCTGTGATGCCGGATCTCTGGCCAGTGCATTATGTGCACCTAAAAATCCATGTAGCCCCGGAGGAACCTTCAATCCTTTAATGATGTCCACACTCGAAAGATTCCATTCCGAAGGTTCCTCACATGAACTTTATGAGTTAATCCCCTTTTCTCTAGAGAGGCATTAATTCCAGGACGTGTGTTTATTCAAGGAAAGGGCAGATGCTCAGCTCAATATTTGCCTCTATTCCGAAAGATAAGGAATATGAAGGAAGGGAGCTCACCGTAGAAAAAAACGAGGGACATTTTTGACAGATAACGAAAGAGAGGTAATCGGATTACAAAAACAAGAGGGTAAAAGACAAAAATTGACGAACTTGCACTGGGTGCCAATCAAATTGGTCCGTCGAAGGATTGCACGGGCTTGTGATGAGGTCACATTACGCAGATTCTCCTGATTGATACGTACGATATAGTCGCCGACCTGAACACCACAATTAACCGTATGTAGGAGTTGTTAATCAAAAAAGTTTCAAAAAATACTCATAAAATAAATAAAATAAAAAGGATAAAGCATTTGCCGTTGATCAATCCCTTTTTGGGATGCGGCACGCATTCTACTTCCATTTGTACATTCGTAGTGGCGTTTGAATGCGATGTGGCCTATACAATGACTTGCGGGGGCCAGCCGATGTACAAGTCAGTGTTTTTATCCTCCCAGACAAGTCTGGTACCAATTAACCGACCCCGGAGGGATGGAAGGCTTGGTTGGCCCGGGCGACTCACGACCCAGGATTTGATCCCCGGACCGCTCGCGTGGTAAGCAGCGCCGCCAAAAAATACGAGATAATAACGAAAAAATAATAATAGAAGTAAAAAATCGCAAACAGTCACCCACCTGTATTCTGCCATCAAGACTGATCGCTTTTTTGCTACAGATGCTCTTCACCACCGCTCCATTTACGCCTTTATCTTTGTCAGCATCGAGAACAATCCCTGAAAAGGAAAAGTTCTCCACTTATCACAGAGAATCTAGGTTATAGACAACACTTCGGCTCAGTCGGGAATCGAACCCACGTCTGTCGTTTTCCAGCAGTACCAACCACAAAATTATCGGAATTGCCTTCTACCTAATTTAGGAGCAAATTCAGACTTGGCGCTGATGGTTTTTGCTATTCTATATGTAGCACTGGTTTTCAAGAAACCATTTTTTCTACCACCGTCACGTCGAAACCATCGAGTGGCTTCATCGTGACGGTGGTAGAAAAAATGAAACAGATGTTTGGTAAAAACATCTCTTTTCTTCTCTCTGGATTAGAAGCTGTTTCGGTGCCGTGTTTTAAAAAAACTGAACAGAAAGTTTTTTGCAAGGCACTTCGATGGAATACAGTCTGAGTTCACTCGAGCAGCCCAGATGGCTACTAGTGGACGAGTATTTGGGCCAAAAGAAAGCGCGAAACTTCGAGATGAGAAAGGTGCTTGTGATTCGAATGCTGCCTCCGACCATTACGATCTCTAAGGAAATGCCCATCTTCATTGATTGCGAGGCCTTGGTGCATTTTTTGGTAGGCGACGGAATCGGGAAATGTCACGGTTGAATGAGAAAAGGCAAATTCAGATTCAGTCCATAGACTAAATAATCAAGAGATAAACTCGGAGCAGTTTCCCTCGACCGACCTTCTCCTATTCTCTGCCCCCTACTCCTCTTGAAAAGGGTAAAAAAAAAGTATACCGCCGACGTTTAGTCGTGATCATATACTGAAGAAGGATGGCTCAGTAGTTTGCCGTAGTAGCATAAGAAAATCTATTAGCGTCTTAAACCGGTGGCCAATCATAACATAACCAAACCATCGCGGCCATAAGCGTAGAGACAGACGAAATGGCTCACACTCTATTGATTCGGCAATGCCCCATCTTATTCACGAAAAGAATATGTATACTCGGTGATCGAGATGTAAGCAGGGTGAATATCGCTTGAGGATTCCTCAACGGCACGTCGAGGATTCTCTGCCCGATCAGACACGATCTCTCGCGCGGACATTCACACTCGCCATGGGCGTGCCGTCTGTGCTCTCCGCGCGGATGTTCACTCTCGGCACTACTCTCGCATGGTAGAGAGCTATGGTCGAGGATCCTCGACCGTTATTCACCCTGGTGTCTGGAACAATATTTCAAAAAGGCCGCGACCATCCATGTCATGTGGGATGAATTAATTAGGTTTTTCTGCCTTTAAAATGTGAACGGCATGCTATTAATGAACCGATCCGCTCACGCTTATCTTTCGTAACCTCACAGTTTAACGGTAGAGAGCAGCACAAGATTAATCGCCCGATCGGATAATAAATATGTAGCTCACGTCGTCCGAAAACCTCTACCAAAGGTGCACCACGGTTGGTTAGAAAGTGGTTGGATATTCTTTCAAATGAATAAGACATTAAGAAAATGATGCGAAATGCGAAACAGCAAAGAAAAGGCAAAATCAGATTCACCTTCAGATGAAGGAACAGATATTAGTTCAGAAGAGAAAAAAGCGGGCCTAATTGATCAATAATAAACTGGCTCAATTACGAGAAGGTTAAGGGTCGCTACAGAGATCGAAATAAGCTTTGGTTCCTGTGTAGAAATTTGTGGACAATCAACAACCCTTAGATGAAAGACTCAGGCAACTCCCAACAATTCGCTTTCAGTAGGTCCTCGATTTGTGTGGACTCCTTACGGAGCCTACACTCAGTTGTTCAACCCGGAATGATAAGTCGCACGGCCCATTTCAGAGAATGGAATTATTTACATTAAACTTCGCTATTCCATCTGTATAAGCTGACCGTATGGATAAGAGATGGTGAACATGAAACAGTGGCCTGAGGTTGGCCGCGAGCCTAATCCAGTACTTGGACACCCCCACCCCCTCCCCACTAGTTATGTTTTACATTACATTGAACGGCATAAGACGCTATACAAATGGGTCAAACGCCTTCATATTTTACATCTCTATGAATCTGGAGGCTTAAAGGGGGGGTTTTACGATGAAAAGCAGCGCACTGGATATGATGTTAGAGATGGAGTTGCTACACTGGAATAAAAAACGAGAAATGGCCTAAAACCCGAGAATGGGACCCGTTCCTTGTCGTGAT